GATTCCCTTTATTTTTTGAGAAATGAGCGTTTCCGTTCTTCTTGGCCCTACTTCCACTATAAGTGCGAAATGCCGGCCAGACTGGCCGATGCACCATTTTCTCTACACATGTGCGTTAGTTACCTTTCAAACCCTTACGTTCACTAGATGAATTTATTTCTTACCTTCTATTTGAGTGAGACCACTAGATTCCGTGTACTATGCGAGATCTGAGCGCTTCCGTTCTCCCTGGCATTTGCACTCTAAGTTCCCATACTGACCGACCTGGCCAATGCACCATTTTCCATATACATATGCATTAGATTCCTTTCAAACCTTATTAGCTCACTAGATTTATATATTTCCCACCTTCTGATCGAATAAGACCGCTAGATTCCCTCTACTTTTTGAGAAATGAGCGTTTCCGTTCTCCTTGGCCCTACTTGCACTATAAGTGCGAAATGCCGGCCAGACTGGCCGATGCACCATTTTCTCTACACATGTGCGTTAGTTACCTTTCAAACCCTTACGTTCACTACATGAATTTATTTCCTACCTTCTATTTGAGTGAGACCACTAGATTCCGTGTACTATGCGAGATCTGAGCGCTTCCGTTCTCCCTGACATTTGCACTCTAAGTTCCCATACTGACCGACCTGGCCAATGCACCATTTTCCATATACATATGCATTAGATTCCTTTCAAACCTTTTTAGCTCACTAGATTTATATATTTCCCACCTTCTGATCGAGTGAGACCGCTAGATTCCCTCTACTTTTTAAGAAATGAGCGTTTCCGTTCTCCTTGGCCCTAGTTGCACTATAAGTGCGAAATGCCGGCCAGACTGGCCGATGCACAATTTTCTCTACACATGTGCGTTAGTTACCTTTCAAACCCTTAGGTTCACTAGATGAATATATTTCCTACTTTCTATTTGAGTGAGACCACTTGATTCTGTGTACTATGCGAGATCTGAGCGCTTCCGTTCTCCCTGGCATTTGCATTTTAAGTTCTGATACCGACCGACCTGGCCAATACACCATTTTCTCTATACATGTGCGTTGAATACATTTCAAACCTTTTTAGCTAACTAGATGTATATATTTCCCACCTTCTGATTGAGTGAGACCGTTAGATTCCCTCTACTTTTTGAGAAACGAGCGTTTCCGTTCTCTCTGGCCCCACCTGCACTATGAGTGCGAAATGCCGACCAGACTGGCCGATGCACCATTTTCTCTACACATGTGCGTTAGTTACCTTTCAAACCCTTACGTTCACTAGATGAATTTATTTCCTACCTTCTATTTGAGTGAGACCACTAGATTCCGTGTATTAGGCGAGATCTCAGCGGTTCCGTTCTTCCAGGCATTTGCACTCTAACTTCCCATACTGACCGACCTGGCCAATGCACCACTTTCCATATACATATGCATTAGATTCCTTCCAAACCTTATTAGATCACTAGATTTATATATTTTTCACCTTCTGATTGAGTGAGACCGCTAGATTTCCTTTACTTTTTGAGATATGGGCGTTTCCGTTCTCCCTGGCCCCACCTGCACTATAAGTGCGAAATGCCGGCCAGACTCGCCGATGCACCATTTTCTCTACACATGTGCGTTAGTTACCTTTCAAACCCTTACGTTCACTAGATGAATTTATTTCCTACCTTATATTTGAGTGAGACCACTAGATTCCGTGTACTATGCAAGATCTGAGCGCTTCCGTTCTCCCAGGCATTTGCACTCTGAGTTCCCATACTGACCGACCTGGCCAATGCACCACCTTCCATATACATATGCCTTAGATTCCTTCTGAACCTTATTAGCTCACTAGATTTATATATTTCCCACCTTCTGATCGACTGAGACCGCTAGATTCCCTTTACTTTTTGAGAAATGAGTGTTTCCGTTCTCCTTGGCCCTACTTGCACTATAAGTGCGAAATGCCGGCCAGACTGGCCGATGCACCATTTTCTCTACACATGTGCGTTAGTTACCTTTCAAACCCTTACGTTCACTAGATGAATTTATTTCCTACCTTCTATTTGAGTGAGACCACTAGATTCCGTGTACTATGCGAGATCTGAGCGCTTCCGTTCTCCCTGGCATTTGCACTCTAAGTTCCCATACTGACCGACCTGGCCAATGCACCATTTTCCATATACATATGCATTAGATTCCTTTCAAACCTTATTAGCTCACTAGATTTATATATTTCCCACCTTCTGATCGAATAAGACCGCTATATTCCCTCTACTTTTTGAGAAATGAGCGTTTCCGTTCTCCTTGGCCCTACTTGCACTATAAGTGCGAAATGCCGGCCAGACTGGCCGATGCACCATTTTCTCTACACATGTGCGTTAGTTACCTTTCAAACCCTTACGTTCACTACATGAATTTACTTCCTACCTTCTATTTGAGTGAGACCACTAGATTCCGTGTACTATGCGAGATCTGAGCGCTTCCGTTCTCCCTGACATTTGCACTCTAAGTTCCCATACTGACCGACCTGGCCAATGTACCATTTTCCATATACATATGCATTAGATTCCTTTCGAACCTTATTAGCTCACTAGATTTATATATTTCCCACCTTCTGATTGAGTTAGACCACTAGATTCCCTCTTCTTTTTGAGAAATGAGCGTTTCCGTTCTCCTTGGCCCTAGTTGCACTATAAGTGCGAAATGCCGGCCAGACTGGCCGATGCACAATTTTCTCTACACATGTGCGTTAGTTACCTTTCAAACCCTTACGTTCACTAGATGAATATATTTCCTACTTTCCATTTGAGTGAGACCACTTGATTCCGTGTAATATGCGAGATCTGAGCACTTCCGTTCTCCTTGGCATTTGCATTTTAAGTTCTGATGCCGACCGACCTGGCCAATACACCATTTTTTCTATACATGTGCGTTGAATACATTTCAAACCTTTTTAGCTAACTAGATGTATATATTTCCCACCTTCTGATCGAGTGAGACCGTTAGATTCCCTCTACTTTTTGAGAAACGAGCGTTTCCGTTCTCCCTGGCCCCACCTGCACTATGAGTGCGAAATGCCGGCCAGACTGGCCGATGCACCATTTTCTCTACACATGTGCGTTAGTTACCTTTCAAACCCTTACGTTCACTAGATGAATCTATTTCCTACCTTCTATTTGAGTGAGACCACTAGATTCCGTGTATTATGCGAGATCTCAGCGGTTCCGTTCTTCCAGGCATTTGCACTCTAAGTTCCCATACTGACCGACCTGGCCAATGCACCACTTTCCATATACATATGCATTAGATTCCTTCCAAACCTTATTAGCTCACTAGATTTATATATTTTTCACCTTCTGATTGAGTGAGACCGCTAGATTTCCTTTACTTTTTGATAAATGGGCGTTTACGTTCTCCCTGGCCCCACCTGCACTATAAGTGCGAAATGCCGGCCAGACTCGCCGATGCACCATTTTCTCTACACATGTGCGTTAGTTACCTTTCAAACCCTTACGTTCACTAGATGAATTTATTTCCTACCTTATATTTGAGTAAGACCACTAGATTCCGTGTACTATGCGAGATCTGAGCGCTTCCGTTCTCCCAGGCATTTGCACTCTAAGTTCCCATACTGACCGACCTGGCCAATGCACCACCTTCCATATACATATGCCTTAGATTCCTTCTGAACCTTATTAGCTCACTAGATTTATATATTTCCCACCTTTTGATCGAGTGAGACCGCTAGATTCCCTTTACTTTTTGAGAAATGAGCGTTTCCGTTCTCCTTGGCCCTACTTGCACTATAAGTGCGAAATGCCGGCCAGACTGGCCGATGCACCATTTTCTCTACACATGTGCGTTAGTTACCTTTCAAACCCTTACGTTCACTAGATGAATTTATTTCCTACCTTCTATTTGAGTGAGACCACTAGATTCCGTGTATTATGCGAGATCTCAGTGGTTCCGTTCTTCCAGGCATTTGCACTCTAAGTTCCCATACTGACCGACCTGGCCAATGCACCACTTTCCATATACATATGCATTAGATTCCTTCCAAACCTTATTAGCTCACTAGATTTATATATTTTTCACCTTCTGATTGAGTGAGACTGCTAGATTTCCTTTACTTTTTGATAAATGGGCGTTTCCGTTCTCCCTGGCCCCACCTGCACTATAAGTGCGAAATGCCGGCCAGACTCGCCGATGCACCATTTTCTCTACACATGTGCGTTAGTTACCTTTCAAACCCTTACGTTCACTAGATGAATTTATTTCCTACCTTATATTTGAGTGAGACCACTGTCAAACATTATATTTGTTATGCTTGTGTAGGCTACAGTGGGTTAGCCTATAGGGGGTACACAATTCTAGGGTTTCCTACTTGTACTCATTTCACTGCTAGTTCTTCATTCCTGTTCGCTTATTCTCACATGGTATCAGAGCGGGTCCTTCTAAGGACCGTTTTTTGGGCCCACCGAAGCGCGCCCCGAGGCGCGATTTTTTTTGCGGCTCAGCCGCCTCCACTGACGCGGCCCCGCCGCCCTCCCTTACGCGGCCCCGTCGCCGGCTCTCACGCGGCCCCGCCGCCGACTCTGTCGCGGCCCCGCCCCGGCCTTTACGCGGCCCCGCCCCGGCCTTCACGCGGCCCCGCCGACGGCTCTGTTGCGGCCCCGCCCAGGCTCTTACGCGGCCCCGCTGCCTACTCTCGCGCGGCCCCGCCCCGGCTTTCACGCGGCCCCGCCGACGGCTCTCTCGCGGCCCCGTCCCGGCTCTTACGCGGCCCCTGCCCCGGCTCTTACGCGGCCCTGCCGCCGGCTCTCTTGCAGCCCCGCCCCGGCTCTCACGTGGCCCCGACGTCGGCCCTCTCCAGGCCCCGCCGCCGGCTCTCTTACGGCCCCGTCGCCGGCCCTGACGCGGCCCCTGCCCCGGCTCTCAAGCGGCCCCGCCGCCGGCTCTTTTGCGGCCCCGCCGCCGGCTCTGAAGCGGCCCCGCCCCGGCTCTCACGCGGCCCCGCCGCCGGCCCTCACGCGGCCCCTACCCGGCTCTCTTGCGGCCCCGCCGCCGGCTCTGAAGCGGCCCCGCCCCGGCTCTCACGCGGCCCAGCCGCCGGCCCTCACGCGTCCCCGCCCCGGCTCTCTCACGCGGCCCCGCCGCCACACCTGCAGCAGTCGGGCAGCAGTGCAGCCGAACGGCCCGGGAGCCGAGCCGCCCAACGCCGAGCCGCCCGGGACCCGAGCCGCCCTGCACCCGAGCCGCCCTGCCGCCGAGCCGCCCGGGAGCCGAGCCGCCCTGCCGCCGAGCCGCCCGGGAGCCGAGCCGCCCTGCGCCCGAGCCGCCCAGCCGCCGAGCCGCCCGGGAGCCGAGCCGCTGTGCACCCGAGCCGCCCGGTCGCCGAGCCGCCTTTCTGCAGAGCTGCACGACCTGCCCTGCCTGGTGAGCACAGTCCCACTGTCACTGCGAGCTCTTTCCCTACTGCTTGCACTGCGTCGCTGTCGTCGCCATGGCTACCCCTAGTGTCCTAGCGTTTGACGCTGAGGGTCGCGCCATTGATTTTGAGGTCTGGTTAGACGACCTGCAGCTGTTCTTACAGTGCGACAGGGCTGACGGCCTTTCTCTCTTTGACCTCACCTCTGGCGCCTCTCCTGCTCCTGCTGCTGATGCTGATCCCACTGTCCGCTCTCAGTGGGCCACCAGCGATGCTGTTGCACGTCTTGCTGTGCGTCGCCACCTCCCTACCTCTGAGCGTGCGCACTTTAGTCAGTACAAGAGTGCTCAGACCTTGTACGACGCTGTAGTTGCGCGCTACTCCTCCCCTGCCACTGCTGCACTGAGCCGTCTCATGCTTCCCTACCTCTTTCCTGACCTCTCTGCCTTTCCCACTGTCGCTGACCTCATTACGCACCTCCGCACTAGTGACACTCGCTACCGCGCCGCCCTTCCTGCTGAGTTCTGCGCTAAGAACCCACCCCCCATGTACATAGCTCTCTACTACGTAGTCGCGCGCCTCCCAGACTCCCTTCGCGTCGTCAGGGACCACTTTCTCGCAGTCTGTCCCACCACCCTCACCGTCGACCTCCTCGAGAAGGCCCTCCTCGCAGCGGAGAAGAGCATAGTCGCTGTAGGTGCTTCTCGTGGTGACCCTCGCACCCCCATCTTTGAGGGGTGCTCTCCTTCCCCCTTGCTGCCCTCTGTTGCCTCTGCTGCTGCTGCCGACCTGCTTGGTCTTGAGTCGGTCGGCGCGGCGTCTGCCCCTAGTGGGAGACGTCGCTCCAGCAAGGGCAAGGGGGGCAAGGGCGCGGGTGGAGCTGGAGGGGGCGGTGGCGGTGGCGGCGGTGGCGGCGGAGGGAGTGGGGGTGGCGGCGGGACTAGTGGCGGGGGTGGTGGTGGTGGTGGCAGCAGCGGCGGAGACGGTGGTGGTGGTGCCAGCGGTGGTGGTGGAGGCAGCGGCGGAGGTGGAGGCGGCGGAGGTGGAGGCGGTGGAGGCGGCAGCGGAGGAGGCGGTGGTGGTGGAGGAGGTGGAGCTGGTCGGGGTGGTACCCAGCAGCGTAGCGGCGGTGGTGGTGGCCAGCGCTCGCAGCGGCAGCAGCAGCAGCGCTCGCGGGACATCCCTCCGCCTCAGCAGCTTCGTGAGTGGTACGCTGGGCGTCAGAGGGGTGGGGGTACTGGTCCCTGCACCTACGTTCTTCGTTCCGGCGACCGCGCGGGTGAGCAGTGTGGGGGTGCCCACGCCACCCAGCGCTGCTTTGGCCGCCTGACGGACGCTTGGCGTCAGCAGTTCCCTGGGGCTAGTGAGATCCCTCGCTGGGATGAGCTTCTTAGGGCTGGTGTAGCGATCTTTGATCTTGATTTTGATGCTATCCTTGCTGCTATGTATGCTGTGACTTATAGTGAGGAGAATGAGGGTTATCGGTGTTTCCAGCCCGACCCGGGCATTGGTACTGCTGCGCTAGGTGCTTGTGAGGCTGCTGCTATAGGTGCCAGTGCGTCTGCGCTCTCAGGTACTGGTGAGACTGCGCTCTCAGGTACTGCGTCGTCCTCGTCCTCCCTCACTTTCACACTTGACTCCGGGGCTTCTCGCTCCTTCTTTCGAGACCGCACTACCCTTACGCCGCTCGGCCGGCCGGTTGCAGTCTCCGGGCTACTCCTCACTCCTCCCACTCCCCCCCGACAGAGGCTCCCCTGCAGACGCTTCACATGGATGTGTGGGGCCCAGCCCCTGTCCGTGGGCAGGGTCACGAGCGCTACTTCCTGTTGGTGGTTGACGACTACTCGCGTTACACCACAGTCCTCCCCTTGCGCAGCAAGGGTGCGGTCACTGAGGTGCTGATCGACTGGATCCGCGAGGCTCGTCTCCAGCTCAGGAAGAGCTTCGGCTCGGGCTTTCCTGTTCTGCGTCTGCACTCGGACAGAGGCGGAGAGTTCTCTTCTCGCCTTCTGCGAGACTACTGTCGTGCACGGGGGATCCGCCAGACCTTCACGCTTCCGGACTCACCACAGCAAAATGGGATTGCTGAGCGCCGCATTGGCATGGTCATGGATGTCGCTCGTACGTCCATGATGCATGCGGCTGCCCCCCATTTTCTGTGGCCGTTTGCGGTGAGGTACGCGGCGCATCAGCTCAACCTTCACCCCCGGGTCTCTCGGCCTGCGATGTCCCCAGCCTTGCTGTGGACGGGGAAGGTTGGCGATGCGTCTGTGTTCCGTGTCTGGGGATCTCGGGCGTTTGTCCGCGACTTGTCTGCGGACAAGCTGTCCCCTCGTGCTGCTCCCTGTGTCTTCCTTGGCTTCCCCACTGACGCCCCAGGGTGGCAGTTTTACCACCCCTCCTCTCGTCGTGTTCTGTCCTCCCAGGACGTCACGTTCGACGAGTCAGTCCCCTTCTACCGTCTCTTCCCCTACCGCACTCCTTCCCTCCCCCCTCCCCCGGACTTCCTTGTGCCGGTTCCCCCCCCGGTAGACCCCCTCCCCCCTCAGGTTCCTGCCCCCTCAGGTGTGTCCCAGGTAGACGCCGTTGACCCGGTCGAGGTTACTGGTGACTCTGGTGCTGCTGCGGGTGCTGAGCCTGGGGGTGCTGACTCTGGGGGTGCTGTGCGCGGGGGTGCTGAGCCTGGGGGTGCTACTGCTGGGGGTGCTGGGCCTGAGGGTGCTACTGCGGAGGGTGCGGAGCCTGGGGGTGCTGAGCCGGAGGGTGCTGTGCCTGGAGGTGCTGGGTCTGGGGGTGCTGGGTCGGGAGCTGCTGAGCCTGTGGGTGCTGAGCTGGGAGCTGCTGAGCCTGGGGGTGCTGTGTCTGGAGCTGCTGAGCCTGGGGTTTCTCCTGCTGCTGCGTCTCGCCGGGAGCCCCTCTCTCCACAGGAGCTGCGCGAGTGGTTCGCTCGCCGCTGGAGGCGTGCTGCTGAGTCTGGAGGTGCTGCTGGAGCTGGAGCTGGAGCTTCTTCGACCGTCGAGGGTGCGGGTGCTGCCGGTCCCGGAGCTGCTGGACCTGCGGGTCCTCCTGGAGCTGGAGCTGCTGAGGGCGTTGGTGCTGAGCCTACTGCTGTTGGTCCTGCCACTGGAGGTATGGGTGGCGCTGGTGCTGTCGCCGAGGGTGCTGGTGCTGTCCCTGCTGAGTCTGGAGCTGCCGCGCGGCCTCGGCCGTACTTCGTTCCGCTCCTGCAGCAGGTTCTTGGTCTTTCTCCTCCAGTAGAGGGTCCACCGCCTGTCTAGTCGCAGTCCCTGCTGGAGCCTTCCTCTCCACTGCCTGCTCCCTCTCCTTACACTGGTCCTACTGGAGGTCTTGCTGAGCGTCGTGAGCCTGCGTCTCGTCCCGCGTCGCCTGTTCGTGCTGCTCGCGCTAGTGGTCGCAGTTCGCGTCAGCGTCCTCCTCCTGTCCCTGGCACGCACCGGATGTCTTTGCGTCCGTCCACTGCTCCTTTGCGTGCCCCTTTGCCTTCTCCTCCTGAGTCCTCTCTTCCTGCGCTTGCCGACCCTGAGTCGGACTCTCTTCGTGCTGCCAGTCCTACTGTCACGCGTCTGCTTGCTACTGTCGTCACTGACCCCTATTTTGAGTCCACTGCTGCGTCTGCTCTAGTCGCTGAGCTCGTCGACTTTGCTGCTCGCTGTCGTCTCGACTACGCTGCTAGTCTTGTTGCTGAGTCTGCGTCTGTCTGTCCTCCGTCCGTCGGGGGTGAGTGTGCTCTTGGCACGGACGTCCTAGAGGACAGGCAGGAGGAGTTACAGTGTCTAGCGGCTGCTTCACCTCATCTCGCGTCTGTACTGCTTGCCCCTGAGGGAGACCCGGATGCACTAGACATCCCGACTCCGCGTTCTTACGCGGAGGCCTTAGAGGGTCCCTACTCCTCTCAGTGGCAGGCAGCTATGGATGCAGAGATGGCTTCCTGGAAGTCCACAGGCACCTACGTTGACGCGGTTCCCCCTCCTGGGGCGAACATCGTCAGTGGCATGTGGATCTTCAGGGTGAAGCGGCCGCCGGGCTCTCCACCTGTCTTCAAGGCACGGTACGTTGCTCGTGGCTTCAGTCAGCGGCAGGGAGTTGACTACTTTCAGACCTTCTCTCCCACCCCGAAGATGACTACTCTTCGGGTGCTGCTGCACATAGCCGCTCAGCGCGACTACGAGCTTCACTCTCTCGACTTCAGCACTGCGTTCTTGCAGGGTAGCCTGCACGAGGAGATCTGGCTTCGCCGTCCACCTGGCTTCACTGGGACTTTCCCTCCTGGCACCCAGTGGAGCCTCCGACGGCCAGTCTACGGTCTCCGCCAGGCACCGCGTGAGTGGCACGACACACTGAGGACTACGCTTGCGGCTCTTGGGTTTGCTCCTTCTACTGCTGACCCGTCGCTGTTTCTTCGCACTGACACTTCCCTGCCGCCGTTCTACATCCTCGCGTACGTCGACGACTTGGTCTTTGCCACAGCGGACACTGCTGGACTCGCCTACGTGAAGTCCGAGCTGCTGAAGAGACACACATGCACAGACCTGGGTGAACTGCGCAGCTACCTTGGCTTGCAGATCACTCGGGACAGAGCACGCCGCACCATTACCTTGACTCAGTCACACATGGTGCAGCAGGTCCTTCAGCGCTTCGGCTTCACGTACTCCTCGCCTCAGGCCACTCCTCTGCCTACTCGCCACTCACTCTCAGCTCTGCCTTCGGATGAGTCCGTAGAGTCGAGTGGTCCGTATGCAGAGCTTGTTGGCTGCCTCATGTACCTGATGACCTGCACACGACCTGACCTCGCATACCCTCTGAGCATTCTTGCACGCTATGTTGCTCCTAGGAGACACAGACCAGAGCACATGGCTGCAGCGAAGAGGGTATTGCGCTACCTGTGCAGTACGTCGGGCATGGGGCTAGTGCTTGGAGGGCGGAGTCCAGTGGTCCTTACCGGCCACGCGGACGCTTCTTGGGCTGACGACCAGGCTACGCAGCG